CTGGTGATCCTCGACTGACAGGAGCCCCCGCGCCCGCCGCACCCGCCGCACCCCTACACCATGGAGGCGCTGCTGGGCTGAAGCCTCGAGGCCGAGGCAGAACGCTGTTGTATATTCGTGCTGTAAATACGCGCGCGCCGCGTCGCCGCGAGTGCCCCCGTCGCCGTCGCCCGCGCGACGCGGCCTGACGAAGATTGTATTTTTGGTAATCGAGTCGCCGAGGACGGATTCTGTAGATAATATTTTAAACTATATTGTTCTTATGTGGTTTGATCTGGCGTCGAGCAAAATAATGTATTTGATACATAAATAAAATGATATGTAAGTCTATTTCATTCGGAGATTCATTGTAGGATAATTTACAATTTTTTTCATAAATAAAGCACAAATCGAAATATTGTTTGGTTTCTTTTCAACGTCTACCACAAATTTAACGGCTGCAGTTCTTCTAATAGGATAGTTCCACGATAGAAGACGGTAAGTATAATGGACATGGTATGGTAGACTCCACCTTTTTAGGGATTGACCTTGGGGTATGTGTATTTCATAGAGTTTTGAATTTGCTTGTCTTTTTTTATTTATACCGTCCATAAGTTGGCGAAATCGCCATTTTTTTTTGTATAATTTTTATAATAATATTAAACTACCGTACATAGTTATTTTTACTTGACATTGGCAAAATCATTGATTATTTCGATGGAGCCATAACATTTAAAAGAAGAAGAAGGCTCAATTTCCGTACCTGAGAACCATTACACTGTAAGTGCTATTTTTATAATTTTACAGGAGACGCGATTTTGTGTCGAAATGCAGCATGTACAACATTTAGAATGGCTTGAAATAAAACTCATTCAAGTTTTAATAACATTTCGAGCTACCCTAATTGGCGTACAAACTGCTTTTCGACACAATCACTTCCGCAAAATTACAAAAATGGCGCTTACAGTGAAATGCTTCTCAGGTACGGATTTATATTGCGGCGGAACGGAATGGAAGCTTTATCACGATATTGTACATAGCGTAAGGAACTTTATGATTAATTGTGTAACGTACAAAGTAGCTATGAGCGCCGATAATAGACCAACCGGCGGCGATGAAAAGTCTCAAGTCGTGGAAGCTTGCAAACCTTTGCCGAAAAAGGGAAGCAGAGCCGACTCTGTCAACTATAGACCTATCTCGGTCACTTCCTTACTCTGCAAGACTATGGAACGTGTACTCAACACCCGTCTCCTATAGTACCTTAAAGACAACGACCTCCTCAGTGATTGCCAGTACGGATTCTGACGGGGGCGATCGACTGGGGTTCTTCTTGTTGTCACATATGGAGCGAGGCTGTAGAAAAGCAAGGTGAAGCACTTGCAGTGTCTTTGGATATTTCTAAAGCCTTTGACAGGGTCTGGCACGCAAACCTTTTAAGTAAGCTTCCCTCTTATGGGCTTCCTACTGACCACTGCAATTTGATCTCGAATTTCTTGAGCGAACGTTCTATTCGAGTGGTCTCAGAAGGCTACTCTTCCGAACATATGGCGATAGATTCCTGGGGGTTTCGTGCTGTCTGCAACTCTCTTTCTACTGCATATCAATGATATGTTAATTCCAGGTACCTTTGCGTATGCTGATGACAACACAGTTGTAGATAGGTACTTGATCAATGCAAGGGTCAGTGGAGAAGAAATCCAGACTTGTCGAAAGTCCATGGTTAGCCGTTAGGATTTGACACTCAAGGCAGTTTCCGACTGGGGCGATGCCATATTTAACGCTACCTAAAAGCAGGTATGTTTACTCTCCACAAAACGCTGTCCCTTTGAGCTGACTCCAACTTTTCGTGATATATCCATACCGATAGCCAACTATCTCCAGCTCTTTGGAATGGACCTGTCTCTCTTGGAATGGTTTCCCTGTCTCTTCTGAAGTTTCGGATTTCCTCATACAGTCCCATTTAAAAAAAAACACTGTAATCTACAGTAATCTCACAAGTTCTCTCGACTATTTTCATTGTGTCTATATGTATGTATTTATTACGTGTATGATTATTCTGATGGAATTAATTAAATCTCCTATATCTTTTGAACTAAGGAGCGACTAGAGATGGGTCATGGATATTTATCATTGCGATAAATAGTCAGGATAAATATCCATTTTTACTCGATATTTATCCAAAAACGTGGATAAATATTTTCAATCGTGGTCTATTATTTATATTTAGTAAAACAAAGTATTTTTAAGCTTATTTGTAAACATTGATACAATTTAGTTGCATGTCGTATAGTACGTATATTGCTTGTTATACTTTTTTTCTATACGCAGTAGGTAATAATAAAAAGAATACTTTTAAGTACCTCAAGTCCCCGTATTTTGCGTGAACCTTATTATTTTTTAAATGTGTAGTTTGTTAAAAAAAGGAATTGTGTCCACACAATATTAATCAGCTATCTAACATTTTGTATGGATTTTTTTTCAAGTTACTAAGTTGGTCCGTTATTCTACAGTTGTTCAGCTTCGTATATAGAATGTAAGGGTTTTTGGTTGATCAATATTTTATTTTAAAAAAACTGTACAGACTTCATTGCAAATACTTAAACGATAATTAATTCTAATACAACGGATATTCAATTCAATATCACTTGGCCATTATTTTGCCAAAGCCTAAGTTCGCTACCGAATAATTTATATGAGTGCGAAAGAAACGGAGAGAGCCGCTAAGGAGAATTGTGTTCTACACAATTATAAACAATAATTTTTTATATCATGTGTTTTAATTAATAGATTTTATGTGTGAAATGTGAAAGAGAATCCTTGGGCTATTTCAAATCGAAACATGACTTTATTTAATACGCAGTAGACCCCTAGACTATAAACTTGGGTCGCACTTTGTTAACGCAGGACAGGGCAGCTCAAGGGTTACAGTTCATTTGATAACTTTCTGTCAATCGAATTTTTTACACCAGCCAACTTTTATGTTGATAAAAGTTTAGGTGAGTATGTTGCAATTCGTTTACATTCCTACCATTAGTGAGATGTTATCGACTCGAAAAACTTAGGTACTAAAACAGTATTGTTACCTACGTAAAACAATGGCAAAATGAGAAGTAATCGTACGTAATTATTTAATAAAAAATTAATTCTAATGAATTTTATTATAAAAGCACGAAAAAAAATTTTTTTCTTTTTGATAAATACTCTGTAAAATCGGATATTTATCCTTTGACGGATATTTATCGGGTAAAAACGAACTCTACCACGCAAGCTCGGGAATGCTCACGCATTCCGCGAAAGATTTTGGCTCGTACCTATCTAGTTTGTACGTTACACAATTGACCATAAAATTAATAATGCTATGTATGTACAATATCGTTACTTAACAAAAATTCGCTTCCATTCCGTCCCGCCGCGATATAAATTGAGCCTTAGAGCATATAAACCTAAGCAAAAATACTATTTAAAGGTTGGATCTCGTAGTTGCTTACAAATACACCTGAAACTTTAGGAGTTTTAATTGTACATAGTACATATAATGAACTAGATACGAGTCCAAAGAACAGGACGCGCGTTTTCCATAAAGTTCTCGACAATGCCCGCCCATTTGCGTCAATTCCGCATTTGCCGCCAGTGACGTCTGACTCGAACATTACCGGGGAACGGATTGAAGCTTATTTTTGTACCACCTAGATACCGAGGCAAGGCCAAAATACGTCGCGCGTCTGCTGGAAAATTCTCGCGCAGTCTCGGTAATCCCACAACTACCGTATCGGTAGTAGTGCCATCAAGTGTCTTTGAGTACCTTTGAGTGGAAGGCACTCGCGGGCACTCAATGTCACTCGCGGGCACTAAAAGACACCAACGGCACTCAAAACACTTCAACGCACTCAAAGGTACTCGAAGGCACTGAAGGCTCAAAGGCACTCAAGACTCAAAGGTACTCGAAGATACTCAAAGACACTCAAAGGCATTCAACGCACTGGCGGGCACTTGTGGGCGCTCGCGGGCACTCCTGGCTCTCGCGGGCTCTCAGAGGCATTCGTACGCACGCCTTGCTGCCGCGCACTTCTCTGGTGGAATCGCAGCCTAATCGAATCTTGGATGTTACATTGCAGGCGAATGCTCGCCGGTGAAGAAGGTAGTTTGTAATGTAATGCTCGCAAACGAATCTTGAATGTTACATTACAGGCGAATGTTCTCGGTGAGGGAGCGCCCTTATTCTATATACGAAGCTGAACAAATGTAAATAAAACAAATGAACAAAAACGGACCAACTCAGTAACAATTTTTTTTAACAAACTACGCATAGGAAATGAAACTATTTTTCCGGATTTAAATCGCGTATATTTGTTTTTTGTCCGTGTCAACCGTGACCATGGGACCTGTAAAGGGCCCGAAACGTCGGTTTGTTTGAAAAAACAAATATACGCGATTTAAATCCGGAAAAATAGTTTCATTTCCTATGTGTAACAATCGCGAAAACCTAAAAACTACGCATTTAAATAGTAAGGTTCACGCAAAAATACAAAGAATTATTTTTATCACTGGGTATAAAAAAAGGTATAACAAGCAATATACTACATGTAGGTACGTGCTACTAAATTGTATCAATGTTTACAATTAAGCTTAACAATATACTTTGTCTTACTAAATATATATATAATAAACCACGATTAAAAATATTTATCCGTTTTTGGATAAATATCGAGTAGAAATAGTATATTATATACAATAGTTTCTACCGAGTATTTATCCCAATGATATTTATCCATGACTCATCTCTACATCCGACACAAGACACAATGTTTTTACGAACCTTTAACGACCCGCTGAATGCGTCGTTTGCGAATGTGTGGCTTTACTACATTCTGGGCATAAAGCGTTTTTTTCTGCTTAAAGCGATTCCTTGTCGATAAGTGTAGTGACTCCCTCAGATTCAATACAAGTACAATAACATAATGAGAATAAAAATAAAATATTTTTTGTAAAAGTTATATTTATTCGAGTACATAACTACATCTTAATATAATGGATAATAACTATTTCTCCGCATGATAAATATTGTTTCAAGTGGATAAGACACGTGTGTCGTCACGCATCACTATTCGAAAGCGTTATCATATACTTCGATTAGTGTTTACATGATGTGAATAACTTCATAACAGCGTTTAAAATAGTTGCAGTCGGGAGGAATCTGTATTTCCTACAAAAGTACTTACATACTTAATAAGCATAAACTGTAGCGTTTTCAATGGCACTCTAATGTACTTGATTGTTCTTTTACTTAAGAAAGGAGAACTTATACCCACTAAATGCTTTGCTTTAGATCATACACACAATGTCATAGTGCTTTGGATAAACAAGCTCACATTAACAACCTTTATTTTTCTGAAGCATGTGGAAACAAAAATATGTGTTCAGTTACCTTGTGTAATATCATATTCATAAGCTGATACTTCAATGTAATTTCTTGTGTCTAAATGCTAGATCCATGCACACTTTTACATTTCACATGCACTAAGCTTTACATATTTTTAAATAAATAGCATTCAAGTATATGTTACCCATAGATGAGTCTCTTTTGGTGGGCAGCACATACTCAAAAGAAAAAAATCCTAAATACAGTTTCCTCCCAACTCAACAATTTCCTAACGTTTTTCCTAACTGTACTCAGAATTAAATTGAGCAGGATCTATTACAGCTACATTTACACACTAAAGTCAACTTTGTTGGCGGACAATACATTTGTTACAGTAGGCCTCCGATTACATGTTTATTTTATACAATTCCATTAATGATAATATTACATCAGAAGTCAGTCCCTTACCGTTCCTTTACTGTCCTTATATTACATAACTCCATACTTCAACTAAAATTGCAGTAAACTACGTCTATGTTTAATCTCAAATGCCGTATCGCGCGGACCGCGAACTCGCTCAAAATTGGGTCACGAAATGACGCGACTCGTGGGCATTCTTATGCGAACGGTGTGCGACGTGCCCACGCGACATATTCCACCAAAACCACTCGACAAGACTCCGAACATCGTAGTATAATCATTCATAAAATACTCATTACAAAAATACTGTACAATTAAAATAATTATTTGAAGGTAATAAACTCTTACCGATAAATCGTAAGCGGTTAATGCTCTGATAAAATCTACGCCCGTCCTTCCTTCAATAATACACCATTCACAAATTATATACAATGTCTCTTATAATAATATACATGTTACATAAACACACATCCAAATTTGATCCCAAAACTGTAGTCTTTACCTCGTTTTATTTTCTACATTAAATAATGAGATCGAACATAAACAACATGGAATTTTGCAATGAATGAGAAATAGGAATTCAATGTTACAACTGTGTGTGTAAGTGGAAAAAATTTAACTGTACTACAGTTTCAACATATACGAAAATAGGTATTTAATAATGTAGATTGGAAAAGCCCAGAATTGTCTAATAGTTATGTATCAATTTTAATAAATATGTCCATATCTTCTCGTATCAAGGCACTGATTTATTAAACAATGTTAACTGTTTTTGTTTAGTTAGGTCATCCTAGCATCTTAGCCTAAAATAATAGCCAATATTAAAATATTTAACTTGCAGTACAAATATTTAGTATGAAAATACACACAGAACTCTGCATACATAGATCTAAAATATAGTATTTCATTGTATTAAATATACATTAATTTGTAAATAGATTTCCAAAGGACTTTATTGGAAAACCATAATTTATACAAAAATATTTCTGGCATTCTAAATACATTTGTTACAGTAACCGTATTGCAATTTAAGAAGAAACGCGACGCGGCGGTCACCAATCGGAATAGGTGGGATGAAGTTTTCTTGATTTCTACGCGTCGATCGTTAGTGCGATAATGGAATGTAGATAGGACAGTTTGTTGACGACGAAATACCACAGTTTACTGTTCGAACTTGCTCCGCGAATATCGTATAAAATGTTAAAAATATATAACAAATACATCGATCTAAAGTCCTTGATCGCCCTTTACATGCAACGCACAAATGCATAATTCCGATCTAACAACAAGCTTCGTTTGTGTGTTCAGTCTCATGCGTCAGACTCGCGCCAGCGCCAATCGTCCTCCTCAGTGCTTCGACAAGTTCAATGGCAAATCTGAAACGTTCAGAGGATTCACATTAGATCGACGAACTTAAGGTAGACAAGTCGGCGTAGAAAATCGCTCACCCGAAGTGGGCTCGTCCTTGGGTATGTGGTCGGTGAGCAGCGGGTGCGCGAGCGGCGCCCAGGGCCCCGGCGGCGCGCCCGGGGCCATCGCGTAGTGCATCCAGAGCGGCGGCGGCGCCGGCGCGCGGTACAGCGGAGCCACGTACGGGTAGCCGTACACGGGCACGTCGCGCCAGTCGTCGCGCTGGGGCGAGCCGCGGTAGGGCGGGGGCGGGGGCGCGGGGCCCGCGCTCCACTGGCGCGCGAAGGGCGGCGGCGCCGGCGCGGCCGCGGGCGCGTACGCCGCGCGGAGGCGCGCCAGCTCCGACGGCGGCGTGGGCGAGTCGCGCGCCACGCCGTGCCCGGGGGAGCCCAGCGTCAGCGCCGAGTACCGGTACCGGTAGCCGTCGGGGCTCGGGCTCAAGTCGGGCGAGTGCACGCTCGACGGCGACTCGGTCTTCAGCGAGGGCGGGTACGAGTGCGGCGAGCGCTTCGCTTCCGGCGATCGGCGCGCGGAGCTCTCGTCGGGCATGGACAGGAGCGAGTGTATGCTGTAGCTGCTCACGTTTTTCGTCACGGGCGGGTCTTTGCGGGCCGAGCCGTTCTGCGACCTGGCGGGCACCTCGGAGGGCGCTTTGGGGGCGTGACTGGGGCCCGGCGACGGAGGATACGACGCCGTGCTCAGCGCGGGCACAGTCTTGGCTCGTCTCTTCATTCCTTGATCTTCGAGGCTCACTCGCTCCAGTTCGCGAAGTATACGTTTTCGGGGTGAAACCATCATGTGCTCCTGCCGGCAGTTCGCTAATTTCGCGTTTATCGGCGCCGGTAGGGACGCTATCCTCTCCCGCAACTTGTCGATGGTGCGGTTCAGTTCCTTGGGTCGGAAGGCGGATCTCGTCTTCTTGTACACTCTTAATTTATGATACTGATATGGTTTCTTGAGTTTCATGTGGTAGTACTTTTCTCGGTCACAGTCCGACCACTTGTCGTCAGTCGTATTCTTCGTTTTGGTGTCGGTCGAGGGCCCGTCGACGGTGTCGTCGCCGCGGCAGGCGGCGGCTTCGGGCGAAGCCGCGTCACCGTTGCGCTTCTTGTCGCAGACACCGTTGGCGAGCGGCCTGCGCAGGCCGTTGGACAGGTCGAGGTGCGAGGTATCGTAGGGGCGACGGCGCTTACGGCGACTGGCGACGGCGATAGCCGAGCAGGCCAGGCCAGCGGGTCGGCAGTAGTACATAGCTAGCTCTTTGGAGAGGTTGCGGCGCGGCGCGGCTTGTTTCCAGCAGTGGTCGCGCTGCCACGGCGAAGACTGGATTGAGGAGTTGTCATCGGACACGCTGAGCGAGGTGGGCGGCGGGTGCGGCGCGGGCGGCGTGGGCGACGCGGCGGCGGGCGGCCAAAACGTTTTGCGCGGTACCGACACCCAGCCTGTACGTTCGCCCTCGCGCCCGCTGCCGCGCACCAGCTCCAAGATGAACTTCCCATCTGCAAAACCAATCAAAGCTTACACATTTAAACTAAAACATATCTACATAATCTTGGGCAGTTTGAATGTGTAATATCTACATTGTAGGCCTGATGTTACTGCGATTCTCATTACTATATAATATTATTATTGCAACGCAAATATTTCGACAATTTTGCTTAATGACAACAATCAACATTTTGTTTGTTTATTTTTGTTTATAAAAAACTCATAGTCTAAATTTAAAATATACAGTGAATTTATTTCAACTCAAGACAAAATGCTTCAATAAATAAACAACACGCTCATAAAGTTATATGCATTATTAAACACTAGTATTGACGTAAAACCTAAATAATAGACATGCAGAAAATTATTTTTTTATTGTACTAAGCGACGAGACGAAAAATCGTGCGGCTTTCGGTAAACAAAGCGACACACCTATCCATAACAGTTGCCGTACCACTCAGAGCTTTAAATCGCAAAGATCTTAGGGGCACTGCCACTGCGCCCGTCACCCTGAGACATGAGCTGACAAGTCACACATGCCTGTAATTTCACCAAAATAAATTACATCATTTGAAATTTTTATTCAAATGATATTCAATTATTTTTTGTGAAATTACTCTAATAGTTTGTTATAATTATTAATACAAAAATCGAACACTCTAAATCAAATTCATATGCTATACCAACTAAGTAAGTAACTAAGTTTAGTTGGTATAGCATCTAGCATGGTATGCTAGAAGATGTTAGTTCGAATCCGGCCAGATCGAAATTTTTTTTTATAATTATAATGATTATAATAAATTACATCATTTAAACCAGAAATAGAGATGAAATGTCATTTAATTTGTTTGAAACCTCCGATTGGCCAGCCCGAATTCGAAACAATTGACAGGTATCGTCAATTGTTTCACTTCAAATCGACCAGTTTAACTTGAGGTTTGCTATAATGGATGAAAATTGAAAAATTACATATTTGATTAAGGTTCATCTGAATCTCCAATGCCACTGTTACTCATTTAGGAACATAGACACCTACCCCTTAGGCGAAACATCCTATTCAGAGAAAGCATGTACAAACTGAGCTAAAAAATCATCATTACTATTGTAACTCTGTGCATCTATGCTCCAAGATGTAAGTAAAGGTGATCATGGTGGATCAAATTCCTGGTTGCAGAGTTGTAGGGGTATACAAGCCCTGGAATTCCATAATAACAATATTATGAAAATAATAATAATTGATTACTCTGATACATCAAGCAGCATACACTTGCCGTAAATGTAGTTGTATAAGATTACAGAGCAAGTTTCCACACTCTCAGCACCTATACCATTTAAATAAGTCAACAATGTTATGTTTACTTAAATTGGACTCTTTGTTATTTAATTTTACGACATTGTATATTGACCTTTAGTTAGCTAATTATAAAAGTTTTATAAATAAAAGTGCCACATATAACAGTATATAATAACAAAAGTTGACAAGTGCTATACAAACATTAGGTATAATCAGTTTATTGAACCTACTTCAACTTTAAATTGCAGTAAGCAACTTAATTTACAATAAATAGAAAAATAATGTTATAAGTAAACATTTGTTTATAGTAACAATATAAAGTACTATTATGTTAACCAAGTAAGAAGCAACTTGTAAACAATAATGATCTCTTATGAGCATGAACAATGTATAACTGTAAGCCACCACTGGAGTGGTGGCTATAGTGTTCTGTTTCCACTAGAGTGCTCACAGCCCCTTACGAAACTCAAAACAATAGCCAGCGGCAGTGCCCAGACAATTGGCAACGGCTCAGTCAAATGTGCCTTCCAAGCTTATCAGAGCATGAATGACTTTCTAGTTTCCTTACTTACAGCCTAATAAACAACCTCTGTAACCCATCCAGTAATTCGTAAAGCAGTTATTCAAGTAATCACAATGATAACATGCAAGTTTAACAGCAGCACTGACCTTTAAAGAACTTGAGCCTTCCTCCCGTCGCTGCGAGGGCGGAACTGTGCACTGGAGCATCCTCGTTTGTACCCTTACTGCTGTTACCATTCACGCCATGTCTTCTGTCCACTTCCTCTGTCATTTTGGTACATGTTGTCAGAGTTGTGTTTGTTCCTTCCTGTATATGCATTTCATTTCTGACTGCTCATTCAGAACACGAGCAACCACTCAGTTCGAGCACTCTCGCCATGTCGCACCGAGTATTGCAAACCGAGCCAAATCCGACACCAGCCTTTGACAAGGATTCACATACGACACTTCTGCGAGAGTCTTCATCCTAGGAAAGCTGGTTGAGAGTCACAAGCACTCTCAAAACTTACATATAAACACATTACCGACACGGTGACTACCGAATTGAACCAATATTTTGATCGATCCTTTCAAGGGCACTTATACTTTTTTCACTTCCCAAATAATTACAAAACAAGACCGCGACTCTGGATTCCCGATTATTATCGGGACCGCGACACAATTCAATAAAAAGCTGCTCGTTTTTCAGCACATAGTTCATTCACACCCAGCATCCATTTTGATTCGTTCAAAATCAAATACGATCGTTCTTTTTTTGATTAGAAAATCGGAATGCATTGTTCTATGCGTTTAGATATGTTGTCAGTAAATAGCATAAAATGACTTTAATTTCTCAAAACTTATTAAATTAGAAATCTGCCGTTTACGAACATTTTAGGTATTGATATGAAGTTGTTTTTTTGTTTTTTGTCGACTGTTGCTTGTTTATTTTCTAATTTCTACATTTACTATTATCAATACAAAACGCAATAATATTGCGTTCAAAATTGAAACTATACAGGTAATTTATGCTCTGGTAACATTTACCGTCTATTGTCTGTGGTGACAACCATCTTGAAACCTGCGAGGTAGTACATACCATACATTTGTCGCTTTCTTTCCGCACGATCCGGTATCATTGCTTCTCTTTTCATTATCGTATATCAAAAGGGACCAACGATATATTTTGCGTGGGAATAAAATGAGATAGAAGCCAGTAAGCTAGCCAACCAGCCATTGAATATTTTGGCTTGGTTTGATCAGTGTGATTATTTTTTGTGCGCGCTGACTAATTTACTGATTCGGTGAATTTAGAGAGTTGTGCTAAATACACGCGTGTATCTGTAACCATGACATCTTCAGAGGTCTCCTCCTACAATCGCAAGATAATATCCGAGGATTTGTCAAATGTGGAATTCGACACGAGCGAGGATGTCGAAGTTATCCCAACATTTGATTCCATGGGACTCAAGGATGAGCTGTTGCGAGGAATCTACACTTACGGTAATCATTTTCATGTAAAATTTTCAATTAAAACCAATGCATGCGTTAAAACCAACTCAAGCGTGTTCATGAAAATAAGTGCCACTTTCACATTTTCAGGATTCGAGAAACCTTCCGCAATTCAGCAAAGGAGTATACTGCCAATTGTGAAAGGCCGGGATGTGATAGCTCAGGCCCAGTCTGGTACAGGAAAGACTGCCACATTCTCCATTTCGATATTGCAATCGTTGGATACCACTTTACGTGAAACCCAGGTGTTGATACTATCACCTACACGCGAGTTGGCCACACAGATTCAGAAGGTGATTCTTGCCTTGGGAGATTTCATGAATGTGCAATGTCATGCTTGCATTGGAGGGACAAATCTTGGTGAAGATATTAGGAAGTTAGATTATGGACAGCATGTTGTCTCTGGCACTCCGGGTCGCGTATTTGGTAAACAAAATTTTACATTCTCAATATATACACTTAGAGAATTAATTGATTTTGGTGTACCTAATTTACTAATCACAATTGAAGCTTGTTTTGAATCTGTGATAATAATAGAGGACAGTTCTGTAAGCACTCTGTACATAGTCAATTTGTTTAGATACTTAACTAAATGTAAACAATCTTGATACATCTTTTTATTGAAACATACTTGACAAATCCATAGGCATAAAAATAGGCATGGAATTTCATATGAAGCTAAGTATTTGTATTTCAAGGTAAGTAAAAATCATTTTATAAATGTGTATTTCAATATATGTATATAGACATCTCAAGATTGTTTACATTTAGTTATGTACCTAAACAAATGGACTATAGTTGTTATTTCAATATTGATAAACCAGCAACAAGATTTGATGAAGGTTGTGATTTTCTTGCTAAAATTACTAAGGTACAAATACTAAAATTTGCCCTCAAAAATGTTCAACTGTGCTAATTTATTGAAAACATATTACCTTGTGTAGTTTTTGAAAAACCATAATCTGAGGATTAAAATGAATTCCTTCTTTTAAAATCTTATGTCTACCATATAGTTTGGATGAACAACAATGTGACACTCTTCTTAATACCTAATTATTATTGTTCCAGACATGATCAGAAGACGTGTGCTCCGAACTCGGTCAATCAAAATGCTGGTACTAGATGAAGCTGATGAAATGCTGAACAAGGGATTTAAAGAACAAATCTATGATGTGTACCGTTATCTACCACCAGCAACACAAGTTGTGCTTATCTCTGCTACGTTACCCCATGAAATCCTTGAGATGACTTCCAAATTTATGACTGATCCTATCAGAATTTTAGTTAAACGGTTTGTAATAAAATTTTTATTTTTTAGTTACTATATAGTTGACACCATAGCAATAACAACTGTTTATTTAATGTTCATGCTCCATTGTCCATCCATTCAATATCCTAAATGTAAACATGATACACTTTGTGTATGATTTCCTCTGGTAGAAATTTTTGATCACAAGTGTTAATGTGTGTCAGATGAAGATTTCTGAGATTCTCTTTTATTACATCCTCAAGCATAATATATTTTTAATATAAAGTTAATTTAGTAGTGTACTTTCAGTGACGAATTGACGCTGGAAGGAATAAAGCAGTTCTTTGTAGCAGTAGAACGTGAGGAGTGGAAGTTTGACACACTTTGCGATCTTTATGACACTCTCACCATAACTCAGGCAGTTATTTTCTGCAACACCAAGAGGAAGGTGGACTGGTTGACACAGAAAATGCAAGAGGCAAATTTCACTGTTAGCTCTATGCATGGAGACATGCCACAAAAAGAACGAGACAATATTATGAAGGAGTTCCGTTCTGGGCAAAGGTATATTTATCAGTTTACAGTACAGTATGGTCTTTATGTATAAAACCTTTCTTTTTTTTTAATAAGGCCTGTAACACTTGGGTGTCAATTTCGGCCTTGTGATGTCAATCCTTCTACTATATTGTGTCGCCTCTTAGTGAGAGACAAGACCTCACTTATGAGTATAGAGTTTTAGCCCTCTTTGCCAACGGGTCACCCAACACGACATTTAACTCCCCAACCTGCCAAATATCTAATTGAAATTGGCTTGTTAGGCTCGTATTCCAGAACTTTACTCAATACTCAGGTCAGAATCTGAGTATGATTTCAAGCAGGAAATATGACCCTAATGGCAGGGACTTGAGTATGATTTTGAGTGCTTTAAACCATACTCAAATCCTGACTTGAGCATTGAGTACAGTTCTAGAATACGACTCTTAGAGCCACATAATGGCCACATTCCATTAAATGTAGCATATCTTCAAGTTTGTTACAGAATTTACATAGCGGAGATTCTGCTCTTTTTATTAGATGGTAGAAGTTATTTAAGGGAAGGTGGCCAGTACGTAGTCTTATAAAAGCTTATAATAATATATATTTGTATAATTGCTATATTTAAAATATTTTACTATACATTTTTTATTATTTTACAGCCGTGTTCTCATCACAACAGATGTGTGGGCCCGTGGTATTGATGTGCAGCAAGTGTCTTTAGTTATTAACTATGACCTTCCGAACAACCGTGAGTTGTACATCCACCGAATCGGTCGATCAGGTCGTTTTGGGCGCAAGGGTGTTGCAATTAACTTTGTCAAGTCAGATGATATCAGGATTCTTAGAGATATTGAGCAATACTATTCCACACAAATTGACGAAATGCCAATGAATGTGGCTGATTTAATATAATTTTTTTGCAATTCCAACAGTAACAACTTTATTTCAAAGCACTTTGGTGAAAGGTTGTAATAGTAGAATATCTTTCAAAACTGTCCATTTCAATGCTGACTAACAGATGTGCTTTTCTCCTAGATGTTTTGATATTGTGTTAATATAATGTACTTACTTTAAGCAAAACTGTGTTTCATTCATTCCATTGTAATAGAATTGTGTAGAAATGAAATAACCATAAATCACATTTATGTACATAATATACAAATTTTATTATGTAGTTAAACTGCAACACATGACAAATAATTTTCAAAGCATTATTAAGTGTAGATTATGTTAATGTAGTATACAGTTCAATATACATAAAAACTTAACTACTTAAAATCTATTTTTTTCTACTATCAATCCAAAAGAACATTTTAAGTCTAACTTATGAGCTTTTGGAATGTCACCACATTTGCAGTATGGCCAACTCTGTCGCAAAACAATGAGTCACAATGTTTGCCGCCATCTTCCATTCTTTCTAATCCATTCACAACATCTAGTTTTATTGTGAAATAAATAAATTTGATATCTACGATCGCAAAACCCACACAAAATATTTTGTTACATAGTACAGTTACAGAACGAGACTCCTTGACTTAGTCCTGGAGGATTTACCAGATGCCTTATGATATTGATTTCCTCTGATAAGGCACAAGTTTTAAATAAAGTTTTCTTAATTAGATACTGTATATTATGTTGACCATGGTGCTGGAAACTATCTTGTGAACACAATTATAACAACAAGTGATAATCTTTAAGGGAAATTGGGGCAAAATATTTTATTAGTAAAAATAGTGTCTAGCCATGTACTAGCCACTTTATGTATCCTAAAGTGACAAAAAGTATACTTAGGCTATGATAAATGTATAAATATAAAGGATCTAAAAGATTACAATTCGGCCTCTGCAGCAGGGTGGTAGGCACTCCAGCGCCTGTATATAAATATCCCAATAGCACCCACAAGAAGTGCCACCAATATTTCAGTTAACTGGTCTAAGAAGCTGGTGCCTTGTTCAGATGACTCTAGGATTTGTGTCTCAATTTCCGGCAGTGGCTCCTCTGGTGGCTTAGGCGCTTGCTCTTCCTCCCCTTTGAAGGCTATTTGGCTGAGAGCGGACTGCTCCTCCTCTGTCATTGGCTTAGCTGCAGTAGATGATAGTAAAACAGATGTCTCCCCACACAGTGGACACACCCAACTTGTTGACTTCTTTGCCAAAATCTTACGCTCGGCAGGAGAATAATCCAGAGAACCAATTGTTCCTTCAGCAGGAGAGGGCATGAAAGCTATAAGAGCAAGTAAAGCTGTTCTAATAGACCATGATGGCTGCCAAGTCTCAGGGTGATGGCCAGAGATAGATAAACAGATCTTTTTATTTACCTCAAATCTACCGTTAGGTGTAAGAAGAATAATATGCGGCGGATGCATAGGATATTCTTTAGGCAGTAGTATTCTGCCGTGGTAGATACCGCCTTCGAAGTCAGTGCCTTTAGGGCCCTGCACGGTGAAGTGCCACTCGAATAAGTTGTCGTCCAAGGGCCGAGCACAGTACTCCTCAGTGGCTTCTGCAAGCTCCAGGGCTTCTCTCATCAATCGTTTAACTCCAGGACATTTAGTATTATATTTTTCTCCCATTTCTGCCATTTTCACAAAACGTAACGTATAGGACACGTAAGTGCTGTCAAAAAGCAAAATATTATGATGACGCAATGTAAATTACGAATTATTATCGAATAATCACAGGAAAATTTGATAACAAAAATCCTTTGTAGAAATTAGATAGTGTACCTGTCAAATGTTATTGAATGAAAGAAATGTCACAAGCTAAAACACTGTCACACAGTGAGACCTACGTGACCATTGGAGTTTCCGTAGAGGATGGAAAAAAATAAAAGAAGTTTCTCCTTATTTGTTATATTGAAAACCCCACAAATAAGATAATGCATTATGAAAAATTTTATTTGTTTTCAGCAACTTCAGCAAAATGTTTAATTTACGAAATTTTCGGATCTCTCTCAAGAGGAAAAAAGCTCTTTGTTTTTCAAAATCTCTCAAAATCAAGACGAGCCCATCGATTTATTCGAATATCGAACGACAAAACGCATATTTTGTTTTAATTGTTCCGAAAATATTCATCGCAATTTTAGTAATCATAAATCGCAATTTATGTGTGTTTCTTATGTTTAAAATAATTCGAAGTTAAATTAATTTAAAACGGGGTGATTGCCATGCTACCAAACCGCAAAAACCAAATGCATAATAAAAAAAACAAACGTCAAAATAAATAACCTCAATTTTTAGCGAAGACGCTTCGCTTTCGTTGTTGTTTCTATTGACGCTATTTAACGTGGATATATTGTAAAGTTTTAATCGATTGGTCTGCTTTATTCATGGAAGGTCCGCCAGGCACAGGGCCGGGCAATAACAATGGATCGATGCCACCTTTGCCACCGGGTATGGGTAGTTTTCCTCCGATGCCGCCTCCGCCAGGCGCTATGCCTCCGGGAAATATGCCTCCTCCGCCTCCCATGGGCCCTCCCGGCACCATGCCACCTGTAAGTTCCGCTGGTGGGCCGCCAAACATGCAAGGAGGACCTCCAAACATGGGACCGCCCACTACCATGGGCCCACCCTCAGGCATGGGCCCGCCCTCAGGCATGGGTCCACCCTCAGGCATGGGTCCACCCTCAGGCATGGGTCC